GACATAATTTTCTCCTTACATTGGAGGGAAATTTCTTGGGACCAACACTTTTCTGATCATTGGAGGCTGAAAAGGCATAGACAACAGTGACGGATAAAATAAAAATCCATGTACAAATGGTAGTTTGACATTTTACAATATGGCGTTTGGAATTTTTTTAAATCTCTGAATTTAAATTTCTATTCTTTGTTATAAGCTTTGGTAAATAACTCCACACAATTTTTTTTACTGCAAACTAGACATTCTGTGCAGAAATGGTAAACAAGATCAATAAAATCTCTTCTTTCTGGCACTATCTGAGATGAATTGACTTAATTTCTCTGAAATCCCATATCCTTATCCAAGTAGAGCAGGAATGCTTTTGCAAAGACTTTTTGTTTTCAAAACAACAACACACAAAAATAATACTTTGCTTGTGGCCTGAGAGATAGTATGCTTTGCCTTGAACATGGCCTGCCCGGGTTTGATTCTTGGCTCCAGTTTGTCCTTTGAATGGAGTGATCCTTAGCTCAGAGCCAGAATTAAGCCCTGAGCCATGCTGGGTTTGGCACCCCCACCCAAAAGAATACTTGGCTTGTTTCAGTGCTTTGGTGGGCAGGGGGTGGGGATAGGTAATGTTTAGTGTTCTGTGAAGTGCTATGAGATTAATTTTAAAGCTAACATGGAAATGGTCTAGAAATTTAAAATCAAGAAATCAGTTTACACATTTATAATAGTGGGAAACTAGCTTAATGATAGTTTAAGTGAAGAATTCTTAGACATTTTAGGGCAATTTGTCTTACACAGTAGTTTGAAGTCTATTGTAGAAGTCTCAGTGTGAATAAAATTTGTCAGTGAACTAATCTCCCACTAGTGGGTCCTAGCTTTGAACATGAGACAAATCACAGGACCCCACTAGATATTTGAAGTTGATTTTACTTCTGTATTCCAAGAAGTGCATAAAATCTTGAGGTCCAGACTGTATGAAGGCACTGTGGATTTCTAGTTTCTCCCTGTGCTGAATTTCTATCACCTTTTGGTTTGGAGTGTGTCTTTGGGCCTTTAGATGGTGCTGCCTGCTGTCTACATTTGTGGGGGGGATGTGGAAGAGAGAGCCAGAGACTTTAGGTGTCAAAATTCCCACTTCAAGGGCCAGAGAGATATTACAGTGGGTAGGATACTGGATTTGCGTTCAGTCCCTTCCACCACATATGGACTCCTGAGCCTTGTCAAACACGGCCCTAGAACACATCATCAAGAGTGAGCCCTGAGCACCACACAGGATATGGCTCTCAGACAAAAAGGAAAAGCAAAACAATCTCCCACTTCATTTTCCCAGGTAGAGAAAGAAGGTCAGGGAGTGTAACTGCTAGAATTTAAAGTTTTCTTTCTGGGGTTTGAGTGATAATACAGTGTATAGGGCATTTGCCTTGAACCAGGTTCAATCCTCAGCATCCCATAAGGTCCCCCCAGCATCTCCAGGAGTAATTTCTCAGTGCAGAACCAGGAGTAACCTTACATGTTGCTGGGTGTGACCTGAAAAAGCCAAAATAAATAAATGAACAGTTTTCTTTCTTACTTTACATGACAGAGCCCAGACGTACCGCCAATGGCTCACCCTTGAGTGTGGTTTAATTGACATCGATTGCAGTGTCTGCATTAAACTCCAGAGGTGCACTGGCTAAGGCGCCAAGAGCGCTTGTCTCAAGTGGCCCTCAGCAATGAATTTGAAGTCAGAGAGATCAAAACACATTTAAAAAAATTTTTAAATGCAAGCATAAAACCAAAACGAAGTCCTTTGGCAAGTCTAACATGAATAATGCAAACAGTAACACAGTCGTGGACTGTATCAGTGACACATATTAGCTAACTAAGGAGGCAGCAGTCATATTCTTGAATGGTTTTCTTAAATGTTGCTGGTTATCTGATCCCTTTCAAAGCCACATTTTCAGAAAACAAAGAGGCTGAGAAATCATGGATGTTCATGAGACAACTCTGAATGGGAGCCATCTTCTTAAACTCTTTCACTTTAAAATACTTTGCTTTCAGCTAAATTTCTTTATGATTTATTATCCAGAAACTTTTGGTTTCTGGAGCTGGAGAGATAGTACAGAGGGTGAGGTGCTTGCTTTGTGCCAACAAAGCTTTGATTCCTGGCATCCCATATGGTCACCTTAGCACCACCAGGAGTAATTCCTGAGTACGGAGCCACAAGTAGCCCCAGAGCATGGCCAGGTATGGCCACACAACAAAACAAAAATTTTGACAGTGTTTGTGACAGTTTTGTTTGTAATGTCTCATATATACTAGTATACCCAGGGTCAGCTAAAATTTTCTCTTTGCTTGGGAGGGTTTGGAAAAAGTTTAAGAAGACTTGTAAGCTCTATATTTCTCAGCTTGAAGCGATGTGGCCCCTTCTGGGCACCAAGATATCCAGGGGTGCCCAGGTGAAAAGTGTGTGAGGAGCTCCATGGCAAAGATTAGGGAGCCAACTGGGTAGTTGACCAGTTGAGAAACACTGATGCTAGTAGATATTAAAAGGTTGTTTCACCTAAAGTTTAAGAAGTGATGACCAGATAAAGAAACTGTGTGTGTGTGTGTGTGTGTGTGTGTAATGCCATACTTCTCAGAAAAGAGATTAAATCATACAATTTTCCACTAGGTAGATAAATCTAAGGGTTGTCATGAAGAGTGAAGTCAGTCAGAAGGAGATACAGAATAATATCTCACATATGCATACATGGGATACAAAGATGTATAGTTACGAAATAAGGATAGCTAAAGGTAACAAGCCAAGAACTGGTCTACAGAAGTGAGTCAGGGTGGTTATGGATGTGGCCTTGGGACAGTGGTGAAGAGACACAGGCACTCTGATGGGGAGTGTGTTTTTGGGGTACTGTGTGCATGGAACAAGATCAGGAGCAATACTATAAATCATGGTGCCCCTCTCACTCATATAACTCACTAGTTTCAGCCTAGTAAATTTTGGTTCAGGGCCACAACCAGCAGTATTCAGTGCTTTCTTCTGGGTCTCTGTTCAGGAATCACTCTTGGTGGTGCTTAGGAAAGCATATGTGGTACCAGGGCAAAACAAGTGCTTTTCTTTCTATACTGTCTCTCAGGTCTCTGGTTTCAGCTTTATGACAGTCAATGAGAGAAGATAGAGTTTGGTGATAAAGGGCACTGCTTGGTATCTTAAATCTTATATTTTTATTCCACTCTATAAATTTCCTGTGGAAATTCAGTATGGCACTTACTTTTTCTGATGACTTTGATTTGTTTGTTTGCCTGTTTCTTTGTTTAATAAGCTACTGAATTGGATCATCTAAGTGGGTTTCCAAAAACTTCTGCTTTCACTTAATCAGGATAACCTATCAAGAGAATAGTTTTTATTTTTCTCCATAAATCTCTGATATAGATGCATATTTGAGACTAACAGATTATCAGATATATATTGCAGCATAACAGCCTAATTTAGTGTCTGAAAACAGCAGTTGTTTATTTTTATCTCTCATAATTTTGCAGTAATATAGAGAGCTATTTGGCCTCTTTCATGAATCTAAATAATATGTATATATATATATATATATATATATATACACACACACATATATGCTGGACAAGTCATTTGTTGTATTCACCTGGTATTTGAGATGAGTCTGAACGCCAAAAGGTACTTCATTTGAGGCGTGGCATATATGAAAAAATGCAGAACATTCATTCATAAGGACATCTGCACACCATTATTCATTGCAGCATTTATTGCAATAGCTAGGATATTGAATCAATGCATGTATCCAGAGACAGATGAGTAGATAATGAACGTATGTTGTATATACAAAATGCATCTGTAAAGAATGATGAAAGCATGCAATATACTGCACCTTGGATGGAACTTAAGGATATCATGTTAGGTGAAGTGAGTCAGAAGAAGAACAAACACCAAATGGTCTCATTTAACTTTAGTATACAGAGTAACAGGGCGAGGCGATGCAGAGTATCAAATCAGGGTTTCATGGATTACAGTGGACTCTCGATTTTAGAAATGAGAATGACAGAGAAGGAAAAAGTCAAGGAAGTGTTTCAAAGATATAAATGGGGTGTTAACAGAGGGAGGAGCTAGGCTGCTCTGGTATATCATTGATAAAGGGGTGTGGTGCATGTATATATCTAAACCAGCATCAATAACACTTAAGCCCTGGATACAAACTTCAACAAACTTAAAAAATGTGCTTGTCAAGGAGGCGTACTGGGGTTGGGAGGGAACCTGGGACATTGGTGGAGGGAAATTGATACTGGTGGGATGGATATTGGAACATCATATGCCTGAAACCCTCATAAGAAACTTTATAAATCATAGTGATGTAAAAGTAATGTATAAAAATCATTCACTCACATTCCTGGCACCACATGCTCTTTCACATGGTCCTCTACCTATCTGATTAAGCTTCTTTCAATAGTGGCTTGAATTCTTAGATAAAAATTTTGGTCTCAGAACGTGTCTTCTGAAAGGATGAGATCCAGGGGCTGTTTTGCATTATGCTTACTGATATCACATTTGCCATTGCATGTCACGCGACTGAATTGAAAGTTGTGTCAGAGACCACAAAAGGGCATGAATGTTAGAGGTGTGATTTAATGGGGACCACCAACAGGATTTTCTTTTGTTTGCTCTAAGTGCTTTTGAAAAAAAGAAAAAAAGGATTATCTAACCAGGCAAGAATTTTTCATCCAGTGCAAACATTCAAGCAGAGGCTGAGTAATAGCTTATGGGAGATACTGTAGAGGTGATTGCTACATTGAGATAGATACAATGACCTCCATCATCATAAGACTCGATGATAACTGACTCCGAATTTTGAGTCAACCTGACTATGGTAATATGAGTGCTATTAACAGTAATAGGGGCATCAGGCAGGAGTCTTCAATTGGGAGGAGAATGATAAATGTAGACTGCTTTTTTTCTACATAGGAGAAAGAGATAATCAAGAACTAATGACCCTTATTCTTTCCTGTCTTAGGTTGGATGTCGATATAACTGAACTTCACAGTTGGATTACTCGTTCAGAAGCAGTGTTGCAGAGTCCTGAATTTGCAATCTATCGGAAGGAAGGCAACTTCTCAGACCTAAAAGAAAAAGTCAATGTAGGTTATGTATACATATTTTTAAAAAGTATTTCCCTAAGCTTTTCTGCCTGTAACCCCTATTCTTAGTATTCTGTTTCTGTTAGAGTCTAAAAGATTGAAACAATATGATATACTGTGTTTCAATATATTTTAAGAATATGTTTTAGATCTCAAACAGTATTAGAGTGTAGCCTAAAGTAATCTTTGCTAGTTCTGCGGTGACTGACCAGGAATACTTTTAATACAGCCTCTTTAGTGTTTGTGTTATTTGGCTGTAAATGGAAGTTTTTTTAAAAACATGAACTCATATTAATGCTTCTTTATATATTGTCTGTCACTTCAAGGCTGGTCCTTAGCAAGCTTGCAGCATAGAATAGACCCTTAAAAATATTATTTTTAGGACCTTGCTTATGCTTTCCCTATAATTATTTTTATACTCATTAATATTTGTCATAAATTAGGACAGATTTGCATTTTTTGGTATTTATGTGTTACATTACCATAATTAACAGATGTCCTGCCTTTTAAAATATTTATGATCCGAGATGGTTTGCTGTTTTTATTCTCTACTGAGACATTATATTTTTGCCCTTCAAAATAGGGAGTTTTTTATTAAATTAGTAAGAGCTGCTTCATCTTCAGGGCTATTATGAGGGCTTTGATTTTTCAATTTTGACAGAATGAAACATCCATTTGGGGTATATAATTGGCAGTAGTTGGTAAGAGAATTTCTAACAAGCAGTAAATACTCTGTGGTGGGCAGAATGAAGAAACAAATATTCTTATGATTCAATAATTCTAGCTATAGGGGGGTCATGTGTGTGTTTATTTGGTCTGTTTTGTCTTGAGCACTCAGTTTCATGAATTACAAAATCTATTAGATTTTTGCAAATATAACACTATCTCAGATACAAGCTAATACTTGCTTTGGGATTGAAACTTTGGAGAACAAAAAAGATCAGGAGAAAATCTATTTTTGAGGCAGCTTGAGGGGAAAAGGTAATTCCATCAGCAGTTCACAGAGTTAACTGTATTTATAGATGAAGAGCTATTTTAAAAACTTTATTAGCTTTATAAGATATTGTATTGCATTATAGTAGACTATAAGTTTCAATAAATGAAACTGATTATATTGTTTTCACTTTTAAATTCAATTGAATTCCGATTTAGCACAGCGGTTAGGGCGTTCGCCTTAAGAAGCGGCCAACATGGCCGACCCGAGTTCGATTCCTCCGCCCCTCTCGGAGAGCCCGGCAAGCTACCGAGAGTATTCGATATGCCAGACACAGTAACAACAAAGTCTCCAATGGAGACGTTACTGGGCCCGCTCGAGCAAATCGACGATCAACGGGAGGGCCTTTACCTTTACCTTTACCTATATATGACAGAAAATTAGCAAAATATCTTACTTCAATTTTTTTCACTGAATGTCTATTATGTTATGATTTGTGATGGAAAATTGGATGAAATTTCATATTCGATGAAGTTTCTATACATAATTGGGGAAGATACATTCTAAATATATGTTCAAGTTCATGTGACGTCTTCCACCACTGGAAGCATAAATCATCAGGGATCGATATTTTATTAGTTTATTTGAAATGTTGTTATTTGTCTGAATAATCTGTCTTTGTCCTATTATTTCCATGCCTTTTGTTTGTTTGGGGCCATATCTGGCAATGCTCTGAGTCTCCTCCTGAAACTGTGCTCAAGGATCAGTCCTGGCTTTGCTTGAGTGCCCATATGCAGTGCTGTGGATCAAACCAGGTCAATTGCCTGCATGGGTCGTGCTTTGCCTGATGTATTCTCTGTCTCTCTCTCTGTGTGTCTCTGTCTATTTCTCTCTTTCTCTTCTGCTCTCTCTGTCACTACATCTGTCTCTGTGTTCTGTCTATCTATGTCTGTCTCTGTCTCTGTCTCTGTCTCTCTCTCTCTTCCCCATCTCTCATGTTTCTGTTTCTGTACCTTAAATCAGCGTTTATCTTTTATTAAGTAGAAAATTTCAGTTCCAGCCCTTCACGACTAGGAATTCAAATATTTCCTGTTATCATATAGTGACTTAGAAGTAACTTTTGTTCAATCAATAGTGTCATCAGTGATAGACTAAAAGTGCTAAAAAATAGATACAATATTGTTTCAGTATTTCTCTGATGCCTCCTAAGTCATCTTTATTAACTTCTCCCCTTTTCTGAAATAACATCATTCTTAATTGCCTGCTAAAATAGTCCATGAAGTAATTTACCTAGACATTTCCTTCAAGCTAAATATAATGTATACGTATTAAAAACCCTTGAGAATAATATACAGAATGATTGAGATGCAGTTTCAGCATACATTAATTTTCATACTTCTTTACCTGTCAGTCCTTTTGAACACATGGGAGGATCATATCATGAACTTGAGTGGTATTCATTTCATTTATTTTCTAGATAACCATTGAAAACATGGCTAAATGTTACCCTCACATTCACTGGATTCCTTTATTCCTTTATGATCTTCAAGTGCTTTTATTCACTTCATGATCAGTTGATTTGTCACTGTCACTGTCACTGTCCTCCCGTTGTTCATTGATTTGCTCAAGCGGGCCCAGTAAGGTCTATTCTTTTAAAAAAGAATGCATTTTTTTCTCTATTAGATTTCATCCACACAGGTAAAACAGTATGCTTAAACATTGCATTCTAGGCCCTGGGTGTCTACTGTTTACATCTTACATACTACAAATGTAGGATCTCAGATGTAATGAATCAACTTTCATGAACAAGATTCACATGTGATGGTGTGAGAATCAGAACTTAAGAATGGGACATTATCTGACTCTGAATATCCTTCCATCATTCTGTAAATTATGCCATTGTTCAGAGTTTCTCACAGGAACGGCTCTAGCCATTCAAAATCTGGAATGAAACCCAAGGTCACGTAAAATCATTCATAATTATAATATGAAAACAATGTCATCAAACCTACAAGGTGAAATGATAGTGTGTATGGGAATTTGGGATCATACAGTGTTTTCTTAAAAGTCTTCTTATGATGTGCCTCTGTGTTTACTTTCTGGAAACTGTGTTTGCTTATTTCCAAGCCAAATCACTTTTAACCAAGTTCTATGGGAAAGATTCAAGCCAGTTAACTCTCCATTGCTGCTACCTCTGTTAATTTTGTTTACTTCTCAGAATATTCCTTCTTTCATTGATATATCCTTCTGTAAATTTTGTTGGTTTGTTTTGGGGGCCGTTGGGGTGGGGGGCATTCCAGGCAGTCCTTTGGGTTTACTTCAGGCTCTGCACTCAGAGATAACTCCTAGAAGGGCTCATGGGATTCTCAGTGGTGGCAGGGTGGAACCTGGATTGGCTGCCCTACTCTATGCTATTGCTCTGCCGCTGACTTATACCCTCATCTCTATGAACTTTGATTCTCTTCTCTCTGCCCACTGGTGCTTCGTTGTGACTCCTCTCACTTTCCATGGACGCTGTGATACTTCTACATCAAGACTCTCTCGGTCCTTTCCACTCATTCTATTAATATATGGAAATTGATTATACCTTCAAGAACACCACAAAGGCTCATCACTTTTTTCAACCCCTGACTCCTTTAGAATTGCTAGTTTCCTCATTTTTCGGAGCCAGCCCCGAAGGTACCATTTCAGAAGTACAAATATATCTTCCCTTGCATTTCATGCCGGGTGGTCATCTCTCATTCACCATTTGAGTTATGTTTTCAGTCACCGTTTTACTAATAGCATTTTCTCTTTGAGGATGTTGACAAGAGGAGCCCAGACACCTTTTCTTAACTTGTGACTTAATCCTAAATCTTGTCAGCTCAGCTGACTGTCCTTCTAACTCAGAAACTTTCATTTCCCTAATCATTTAGTTCTGCTACTCACTTGTATAGAAACACTGTAGATGTGTCATTGCCAGACATGACTGCATTCCTGCAGTAACATCCTTTAGCAGTCATCAGCATGGATTCACTCAGTTTCTCAGCATCAAAAGAGCATTTATTTCCTCCTCAGGTTATATCAATTGTTAACTCAGATGTTCATGGATATCTTCAACCCTATCCACTGTTCACAAAAGACTATTTTGCCTCATCCGGGAGTGAAAAAAAATATCTTTCCTATGAGGAGAATGTGTTGTTCCTCCTTCTTTTCCTTCTGCCTTGGTGGAAGTTCCTTGCTTTGGGTAGTTAATCTTGTTAGTTTGTTATTTCTCTGTGTTCACATTACCTTTATGTATGAAGGAAACTTATCTTTTTGACTACACACCTGTGTTTTCAGTCTTTTACTGTCTTTGGGGGAAGGGTGTTTATCATCAGCCTTTAAACAGTTTGTTTTTCTGTCTTTGAGAGACCTTCCTTCTCTAATAAACTGACATTTGAATGCTTTTGTGATTTGCTCAACGTTTATTACCAAACCTGTTAACCTCTTTAGTCTTAACGATATCCTTCCCCCACTCCTTGAATTATGGAAATCTGCTGATTTTTGAATTATTATTTTTTGCCATTTGTTCCATCTCATTTGTCCTTTAATGTTAATATTTTCCATTAGTTATTCCCTTACTTTAGATTCTTCTCATTCCTTCCCATTCAAATTGCATCTATTTTCTAATGAACCTGAAATATGAACATTTAGCTCTTGTTTCTCCTTTAAAGCCCACACCAATATATCCAATTGCCCAATAGACAGCTTCAAATGAGTGTTTGTCTGAAATGTAAAATAAATCTCATCTCTCCAGTCCCCATTTATTCTTTTTCTTTTCTTTTCCAACTCAGAAACCTAAAAGCTAACTGGGTCATGTAGATTTTTTTTCTCACCATTCACAAGTCCACAAGTTGACAGTTCAATTAATCTTGCTCCCTTAATAGCTCTTTAAACTGTCCAGTTCTCCCTCTTCTCCTCACCACAAACCTGATTAAAGTTAATACTGTGGCTTACCTCTGTTTAGAATAACATTCCTAGCTGGTCTTCCCTGCCACCAATATTATATTCCTTTAGGTTTCCTTTAAATTCTGCCTAAGTGAAC